TGGGTCATCAATTTGCCTTGCGCTTTCGTCGCGCACAACTTGAGGCAGCGTCAGTCCTGGCGTGAAGCAGGCAGGGACGCGGGAGTCAAAGCAGCATCAAGCCGCATGGGTCTGGAGAGGAGGATGCACGGCATGCCCTCACAACAATAACAACAAGAGAGGAAAGGCGAGGTCGAGACCATGGGCCGGAAAACAAGGGGTCTCGACGAGATGACGTCCCGCAAAGCAGAGTGCCCCCCCACCCAGTCGAAATGAGGCAACTGCAGAGAGAATTCGGGGCACCTGCAGAGAGAATTCGGGGCCTGCGGTCTATTGATAGTAGAGCTCAAGGCCCATGCCGTCGTGGATCTCGTAGTCGGCCAATGTCACGTGGTCCTTGAAAACATTATACCTGTAAACCATTTGAATGAGCATTCACCAAGTGATAAAACTGTGGATGAGCCAACCAAGGAGGTACACAGCCGAGACCATGGTTTGGTGGTCAGAGAATAGCAGGGCAACCGCACCATTTCTTGAGCACAATCTTGTCGGGTCGAGTACCGGTTTGTGCGGCGATCAAGAGCTTGAGGTCCCCAATGGTATCGTCCTCACTGGCTCGATGCAAGGGAAAAAAAAAAAGGCGAGTAAGCGTGGGTTTAGCACATGTGTTGATGCAGCGACACAACGAGGCGTGGCTCGCATCGCATCGCATCGCATCGCATCGCATCGCATCGCATCGCATCGCATCGCATCGCATCGCATCGCATCGCATCGCATCGCATCGCATCGCATCGCAGCAAACTCACTTGCACTTGATGCGAATCTTTTTGCCCAAGCGATCATTGCACACCACTTCAATCATCCTGTCCGGTCTGGTCTAAACACCGCCGCACAGGGCTAGCCATGAGAGACGAACTACATCACGTTATGCCATCTCGGCCAAGCCTGCAGAGCAGGACCACACACAGTAGGATCCTCCTCCCCCGCGCTCCCCCTCCCCCTTTTACCCTGACCCTCAAGGTCGGCTCAGACGTCGCAAAGCACGGCGCCGCGCCGGTCCAGACTCACCCTCGTACCACGAACACCAACGTATCAAGTGCCGCACCAACACACTCATACCCGACCTTTACCTCGTCATATACTACTTAAACCTCTTTATCATCATCACAAAGTATTGGTGTAATATGTGTATTTTGACTTATAAAACTTAAACATCTTCAATAAGTACGTTGATAGAAACAATAACATGTCCAAAAGCATCAATATCCTCAAATTCGTCTGCAATAACTCTTTAATTCCAGAACTGAAGCCACCAACAGCCACGTCAACGTTTTCTATCTCTCTCAAGCTCTCTCTCTCTCTCTCAAGCTCTCAAACTCTCAAGCTCTCAAGCTCTCTCTCTCTCTCTGTCAAGCTCTGTCAAGCTCTGTCAAGCTCTCTCTCTCTCTCTCTCTCTCTCTCTCAAGCTCTCTCTCTCACAAGCAAGCTCTCTCTCTCTCTCAAGCTCTCTCTCTCAAGCTCTCAAACTCTCAAGCTCTCTCTCTCAAAAACTCTCTCTCTTCATCTCTCTCTCTCTTAATCTCTCTTTCTCTCTCTCTGGAACTTTTGCGGCAGTGGCAAAACCAGTGTGGCAGCGCCCTTATCTCGTGCGAGGGCTTGAAGGCTTTCAGTATCTGGATACTCGCCAACGCGAGGTTTCGTGCCATTGGCCTTGGTGCTGGTTGCCCTGTTCAAGATGGCGTCGGAGGAGCATGTTCAGTTTTTGCAGGTGCGCAGCGCCGTGGCGACTGGCGGCTCTGACCTGACCTGACCGGGAAGCGACGGCCGGATCAATGATTGAGCGTTTGAATGCTTTCTGTCACAGGACCTTTCCGGGCTGCCTGAGGAGCAGTGTCGCTCTATTCTGGCCGATAACGGCAACGACCTGCAGGTGAGCTACCAACGCTTGGCACACTACGAAGGACCATACACTTCTGCTCGTCTCGTCCGACGTCCTGCTTTCATCCCATGCACTCACAATGCCCAATCACCCCCTTGTTTGTGGCCGCGTCCCTCAATCAAGCGCGCCGCCAACTTTATCACCGAGCATGTTCTCGAGCAACCTGGTCAGACCCGCTCGCCGGGCGCTGCCTTTGCCTTTTATTTTTTTTTTATTTTTTTTTATTTTTTTTTAATTTTTTTTTTTTTCGCGTGCTTTCCAAAGGGCTCCGCCTCATCTTACCACGCTTGGGCTTTGTTGGCAGGTTCCCCGCCTTCTGCAAGGACAGGCAGCGAAGGTGCGCACCAATCTTTATGGTCCTGGCTGGTATTTTCCTTCACCCAGGTGTTTTCCGGGCCGGGCATCTGTCAGCAGGCCTTCGCCGCCGTACGGCGCCACCCGTCACGCCATCGGCGCCGCCTGTGTCGGCAGATCCCTCGCCAGCTCCAGCACTCGTGCGTAAACTGCAGACGCTGGTAGCGGGTCACACTCATGCAACTGGTCACGCGACCAACTGACTGCCCGATGTCTGGGTCACTGCTACAGGACACGCCTCCGTCCCAAACACAGGGAGCCGAAAGTTTGCCCGAGCTCCTCTTGCGCATGGCACTGGGGCCGGTTCGCTTCGCCAAGGATGTGATGGTCGTTATTTTTCGACTGCTGGCTGCTTTCTTTGGTTGGTCTAAGCTCGCGCCATATGGAGGCGGTATCCTACACAAGAAGGAGGCCGCGTGTCCTCACCCGGTCCACGCTTGCTGGGCGACGTGGCAGGCACGCTCTTGCCTGGCTTTGATCTCTCGCGGCTAGGCTTTGCTGCCCCAGGCCCATCTCGGACGGTGCAGGAGGATCTGCGGGCTCGGCATCCTGATCTATCCTTTCCCATGATGCTGGAAGGCAGTTTTCAAGAGGTCTGATTGGCCCCCCCGTTGAGCTTGAGGGCCTCTGCAAGCATGATACCCCGCTTGCCGGTGCTCACCTCCCTTGGATTCTTGCTGGCAGGCCTCGCGTCAGAGCCGAAGTGACATCAAATTCCTTCTCATCTATCTTCACGCTGAACAACACCAGGACGTTGACGCATTTGCGCGGTAAGGTCCGGGCCCGCACCCGTGCCGCTGTGCGCAAACATCAGGACTGGAGCCAACTTGATGGGTGTCAGGAAGCAAAATGGCAAAATGACAATGTACTCATCTTCAATTTGACGGCGGGGGATGGCATCTGTAGCACGATCTTGGCGAGTGATGCGCTACGCACCTTGGTCGAGGAGCGCTGTGTCATGTACGCCGCCAATTTGAATTCACGCGAGGGACATGCAGTGGCTGTGCAAGTCCGTGCCCTGGCATTTCCGTGCCTGGCCGTCTGCCTTCACACCGATGGCGCTCTCCAACTCTTGCACACCCAGCAAGGTTGGCCTTGGCACTGGCGCGAGTATCGACCCAGCTGGGCCAGCTCAATGTGTTAGACGCGCTTACGGGGGCTCGCGTTGGTACATTGTATTATCCGTGCAGGCTTGGCCGACCCGGACCGCGTTATGGGAGCGCTGTTGCAGACTCTCGATCGCTATGAACCAGTTTTGATCGCTGCGCGCGCCGATCGTATGGAAGTTCAGCAGTCTCAGGTTTGTGGGGCTGCATGTCTTTGTACCGTCTGATGCAAAGGGAAAGCACGGCCGCTGGGCATTTCAAAATTTCAAAACAGTCGTCCTGCCGTGGTCAACAACCGCAATGACTGGGGCCCGTTTCCACGATTGTTTCATGCAGCCAATCCTGTTTGAGAACCCGATCCTTGCACGATCGGCTCGTCTCGCCTTGTTCACGTCAGCCTTTGTATTTTTTTATTTTCGGTATTTTTCTTTTTTTTGTCTTTGGCGTCCGCCCTGTCCCTTTTGGCATGCCATCCTTCTGTAATAGGCTATCCGTGAAGAGCAGGATCTGGCCTATCAACAGTCTCTGCTTGAGGATCAACGCAAGGTGTGAATCGGGACGGGATCATCCCGCGGCATCCTGCATGGTTTGCCAGATAGCTGATAAAGGTTGATGTGGGATAGAGCGAGGAGCGTCGCCTGGAGCAGGAGCGCGCCGAGCAGGAGGCAGCTGAGGCGGCCGCGGCCGAAGCCAAGCAGGCCCAAGCTACTCAGGATCGTCACGCCCGCCTGGCTGCGCTGAAGGCCAATTTTCCTGCCGAGCCGGTTAAAGGCGATGGCGTCATCAAAGTGGCCATCCAGCTGCCTCAGCGCCGCGTTCATCGGCTCTTCCGCACGTCAGACCCTACGAGCCTGATCTACGATTTTGTCGATTGCCAAGATGAGGTAGAGGCTCTCTCGACATGGCTGGCTTGTCGCCTCGACCGAACTGCTTATTTGTGTGTTCAAACAAGTTGAGAGCCACTGCTCACCTGGACCGTGCCGATAGCTGGAGTCGTCGCAATTCGGCCTGTTCACGACGCAACCCAAGCGGCGCATTGCAAACGACCAGCAAACACTGGCGGAGCAAGACCTGACTCGCAACGTCCTCCTGCTCTGCCATGAAGAGGGGGAGGACGAGGAAGAAGCATAGGCGTGGTGCGGTGCGACTTGGGTATCCCATCCTTTTATGCTGGGCTCCATTTGAATTGACTGACATGACACTTGAGAGCCTCTCCTGTAAAGGCGTGCCCTGCCGGGTCTCCCATGCAGACGGGCCGTTCCTGATGCATGTACATACATTCGATGTCTTCGTATTCACTTGTCAACTCAAGCAAGACAAGCTGCCAAATCTGCATTTTTTCTGACATTCGCTCCTTCGGTCTGTCTGTGTTTATCATGCGTGCATACATGCATGCAGCTCGCAAGGTGCACTTCACGCGTTTTGAGCACCTCTGCTGCACTGTACACGTGTCCATCTTGTGGTAGTGGTGGAGTTGGTGGTCGGGATGATGCATGCATCCATCAAACCCGTTCTCACGCTCAAAAGACCGTCAACAAGTACGACTTGCAGCTCACACCGATTCGACCACCGAAGCACACTTGACGCTCACGTCGACCGCATCTGGACCTTGTGCCGGCCCACACCTGACTGCATCGGAACGCACACCCATCTACGCCTTTTGCTTTTTGGGCTTTTGGCAGGAAAAGCCTCAAGTCGTCGACCACCAGCAGCAGAACGATCTTGGCTTGATGTGTGTGGTGTGTGTAACGGCCCGTGGTGCTTCTCTCTCTCCGCCCACACAATTGTGCGGCATTATAAACCCTCAGCTGTTCCCGCAACCAGCCGCGCCACTCGTCTCGACGGGTGCAGCTTGCCTTCTCTCCCCCATTGCTGACAAGCCGTGTGTCCTGCTCCAGCCCTGATCAGGCTGTTGAGCGTCCAGCGGCTCGGCTGCCAATTCATCATTGTCCCAGTCGCCCTATTTCCTGAACGCGCTTCGCGTCAAGTGGCCTCTCCACTCCACTGAGCGGCACCTCGCCAGTCCGGCTCAGAGTCTCGACGAGAAAGCACAGGCGGTGGGGGTAGGTTTTTGTGTTTGAAACTGTCGCCTATGCTGGTGGTCTTTGCCACCTTGCCGGCGACCGGCTGGTCTGCTGGTCAATGTCTTGCACCCGTGCAACTTCAGAACCCACCATCATGCACACCGCTCCGCCTTTTCTCGTGTCTTTTTAACTCTCTTCACACCGCTTGTGACCTTTGGGGCGAGGAGCTTGATCTTTGCCAAACAACACAAATCAGCCCTCTTCTGCGCCGCGGTTCTTGTACTCGAAACTCATATTGAACTACTTGCCTTGTGCTGCACCGTTGACAGACCCACACGCGCGTGCATCTCCACCTCCTCCCCCCTTTTTTTAATGCCAAGAGCCCTATTTCTCTTCCCCGTGACCAGGACGCGCACACGACATACCCTTCCCGGCAGCGCGAAAGCTCCAGCGCTGTCATGGGGCTTATCGGAGCGCCTCGTGTGCTGAGCACTTGGCTTGTGGCTCTTCTCCTTGCCCTGGCCAGCGCGCAGCAACTCACAGTCTCGCCTACGGCCACCGAATATTACAACCGTGAAGCCCATGTCAACTTGGATCTCAAGCCCTTGGCCGGCTTTGCAAACCTCTCGGCCATCACCGCCATCCGCTATGGCGTGTCAGATGTGGCGTTGGCTGATGTAGAAGTGGCTCCCAATGGCACCTCTGCCCGCGTGCGCCTGCTCATTGGCGAGATCGGTGTCACGGGCGACGATGGAGCTCTGTTCACCTTGACGCTGCCAAATGGCACCACCCTCACTTCAGATCGGTTCTATCTCTACGGTGACATTGATGGCTGCAGTGATGAGCCCTGTGCCCATGGTAGCTGTCTCGACACGCCACAGGGGTTTGAGTGCAACTGCTCCGCCTCTGGCTACAAAGGCGAGCTCTGCAATGAACCCGTCTCCTGTGGAATGCTGCCCACCCAAACTCACGCTAGCTACTCCCCCGCCGTCGCGGAGCTCTCCTTTGGTCAAGCTACCGTCGTCACCTGCGCTGAAGGCTACGGTGTCTTCAACACCACGGCCGGGGCTTTTGCCAACGTTGGCGGTTCGGAGGACCTCATCCAACGTGGCTTTCGCGTGGACTGCACTGCCAGTGCCCGCTACAGCAACGAGGAACTTGCTTGCAGGCAGATTGATGAATGCGCTTCGCCTCTGCTGAATGATTGCGCCGAGTTGTGCATCGACACGAATGGCAGCTACACCTGCTCCTGCGCCGACTTGCAACGCTTCTTCCTCGCAAACGACAACACATCGTGCTCCGACCGCCTCGCTCCACTGCCGACTACACTCGACGTACGCGCCATCAACGACTCATTGGTGACACAACTCGTCGTCGTGCAAGATATTTCGTTTGCCATCCGCCCGCACCGCCTTGATATTCGCTTGCGCCTGGCCGCCGACTCGAATGACACCGCTCTGTTGCGTGGGCCACTCGCCTATGAGTGGGTGGACACCACGCTCATAGCGGTGGACGTGAGCCTTGACCTCCTTCCATTGCGCTCCGTCCTTTTTGAATATCATATTACCAACTTGGATGCGAGTCCAGATGGTGCCTCGGCTGGCGGCGTGGCCGTGGGTGGCCCCGTTCTCCTGCTGCGCCACAACGAAGACAGTGATGACGATGATATTGACAGCCCGCCTGGCACCAACCCAGAGCACAATGTCACCACGTGCGGAGACTTGCCCTGTCAAAACAGCGGCATGTGCGAGCCCATGGTGCGCTATGAGTTTGACACCATACCCACCATCGCTAACCTCACGTCTGCTTTGAACCTGAATGCCTCTGCCATCGCCCGGTCCTTTGCCGACCTCATCACCGCCGAATTCTCACCGGCCTTCACCCTCCAAGCCGCATCGGCTGGGCCCCTCTATGGCATTTATGCTGGTCGCCAGCAAGACCTCGACTTTCAGCTCTTCCTTGTTTGGCTCGAGTCGCTCGACGTGGTGCTGCAGTCCACGACGTCCAGCGAGAATCGCTCAATCACCGTCGACATGTCGACCGTAACCTTGAATGTGCGGCGCAATGGTACAACGGGCGCCGTGGTCGACGATGCAACCAACGCGGTTGAGCCTCGGCAATTTTCGTGCCGCTGTGCCACCGGCTTTTCCGGTGACCTGTGCGAGATCAATGTCGACGACTGCTTTGCCTCCGCCTGTGGCCCCGGTGTTTGTCTCGATGGTGTGGCCAGCTACGCGTGCAATTGCTCTGGTACCGGCTTTGAGGGCAGCCGCTGCCAAACGCAGCAAACTTGCCCAACTTTGCCCATGCTCCCACATGCCACGCCAAATGTGACTGAAGCCCATGTCTTTGATGTCATTGCCTACCAATGCGACCCAGGATACAGCCTGGACGGAACTGGCGTGGGGGATAACCAAATTTTAGCCCGGTGCACTCTGGCACAGCAGGTGGAACCCGAAGCAGCAAGCTGCCAAAACGTTGATGAGTGCGCCGAAGGTGCTTGTGCCCAGCTGTGTACCGATACCAATGGCAGCTTTCTTTGCGCATGCACCCCAGGCTATGAGCTGGCTACCAACGGCGAGGACTGCGAGTTGGTCTCGTGCGGGTCTGCGCCCGCCCTGAATTTCAGCAGCTCTCCGGCTCAGGGTCAAGAACTCTTCTTTCATGATGTTGCCGTGTACTCGTGTGTAGCCGGTGCTGCTTTGGACGGCTTGGTCAATGGATCGACCGCCCTCAATGTCACCTGCCAAGCGGATGGCTCGCTGGCTCACTCCGGCCAGTGTTTGCCCTGGGATGGTTGTGCCAGCCAGCCCTGTGCCAACGAAGGCGTATGTACATCAACCGGCGCCAACTTCACATGTGCCTGCGTCGATGGGTATGTAGGCCCCACCTGCACGCAAGATGGCAACTTGGCGCCTACCGACATTCTGCTCATTCCCGGGGCCATACCCGAGAATGTGGTCGACGTAGTGGTCGATTTGGTGGCCATCGATCCCAACGAGTCTGACAACCACTCCTTTGTCTTGGAGAGCGACTCCAGTGGTGTCCTCCGCGTCGTCGGGAGCACCTTGCGCTTGATCCGAGCGCTTGACCATGAGCAGGCTGATTACCACACCCTGCGCCTTCGTGCAACTGATGATGGTCCTCGCCCCAAATCAACGACCGCAACCGTGGTGCTGCGTGTCGAGGACGAAAACGATCCTCCTACTGCCCTGGCCTTGAGCACGAATGAAGTCTATGAGGCGCAGACGGATTCTCGCTATGCTGTTGCCTCGATCACAGTGAGCGACCAGGATGTCAACGACCGCCACAACATCAGCGTTGACATCGATTGGGCCTCAGTCGAGGCGGGTATCCTCTACTTTCATCAACCCCTCGACTTTGAAACAGCTTCCAGCCTCGTGCTCAACTTTACCGCCACCGATCTCGATGGTGCAACGTACTCGGAATCTTTCATCTTCTTCGTTCTGGACGTCAACGAGCCGCCCTCCACCCTGACCCTCAACGGCACGGCTCTCTTAGCCCTGTCTTTGGTAGTCAACGAGGAACCGGATCCAACCGCTGACGTCACCAGCCTCGGTGAGCTCGGAGCTGTTGACCCAGACGCCGTAGATCAACCGACTGCTGCTCGCCCTGTGCCCTTTGAGTTTAGCCTGTCGCCCGCCTCGAACCAAGCTTGTCTCCTTGACGGCCGCACTCTGCAGCTCAACGCTTCTCTGGTGGATGCCGAAGCGCAGAGCTCTATCTCGTGCTTTCTCACAGCAACCGATTCGGCCAATAATCGCCTCACTCAGCGCCTGGACATTGACGTCCGTAGCGTCAACGAAGCCCCCTTGGCCATGCGACTGGTGCCCGCAACAGCGTTGGAATCGCATCCCGTCGGCTCAGTCCTCGCCACCATCCTGGTGGATGACGTCGATGTTGGTGACGAGGCCCGAGTGATGCTGGTGCCCATCAATGGCTCCCAGGCCGACAACGCCTTTGTCGAAGTCGTGCCTGGTACCCGCCAGTTGCGCTTGGTCGCGCCGCTGGACTTTGAACATCAACCCCAGCTCGTCTTTCACGTGCGCGCCGTCGATGGCGGCAACGCCTCCCTGGATGCGGTCCTGATCCTATCTGTGGCCGATGTGAACGAAGCCCCTTACAACTTGACTCTCACCAGTGACGGCCTGCCCGAGAATGCAGTCAACGGCACCATGGTAGGGTTCTTTACCGCCCTTGATGATGACGTCGGTCAAGACCTGACCTTTGCGCTGACGGCCGCACAACCACCGGCTGCCTTCCGGCTTGAAGGCAACGTTCTTGTGTACTCGGGCCAAGGGCAAACCCCAGATTTTGAAGGCGGGGCCAACTACAGTGTCACTATCACGGTACACGACTTGGGCGGTCTAGCCGCCACCATGCCTCTATCAACGTCGCAAACGTTTGCCATTCAGCTGCTCGACGTGAATGAGCCTGTAACAGGAGTGCGCGTTGCGCCTGCCACGGTGCCCGAGGACGCGCTGGTGGGCGCAGCCTTTGCTCAGCTCGTGCTGACTGACCCGGATTTTGACGAACAGCTCACAATTCTTGCCCTCACCAGTGATGGTCCCATTGCCCTGGCCGACCCTTCAGGCGCCCTCGCTTGTTCGCGCATGGTGGCGGGCACGCGCTGCACTGCTACATTGGTTATCACAGATGCTTTGGACTATGAAACACAGCCTATGCTGACCGTCGTCGCTGTGGTGCGCGATGCAGCAGGCGTTGAGCAGGAGCTTCAGACTGACATTGCCGTTGTCGATCGAAACGATGCGCCCATCATTTGGGGCTTGAACCAGGAGACAGAAGCCCTGACAATACCAGAGAACAGTTTCGTCAACACAGTCGTTGCTACCTTTGCTCTCATCGATGCCGATGCAGAAGGCAATTTCACCTGTGCGGTTGTCGGTGCACTCAACGACTCGTCCACGGTGCCCCTGCGCGTACAGGGTCCCGTGGTACTCAACGCCACGCTTCGTCTCGTGTCCACTGCCAGCTTGGATTTTGAGGCCCAGGCCGCGTATAATTTCTCGCTGGCCTGCAGCGATGGGCAGGCTACCACTGCAATCACCCTCACCTTGCAGGTGACAAACGTGCCAGAGGCCCCCTTCAACGTGCGAGCGGCCGTAGCAGCCGTGCCAGAGAGTTTACCGGTGGGAGCGATCGCCGCCTGCCTGCTGGCCGACGATCCAGAAGGTGACGTGCTCCAATTTGAGGCCTTCTCGCCGCTGTTTGAAGTGCAAGACGACTGCTTGCTCCTGCGCCAACCCTTGGATCATGAAGCAAATGCGACGGTGAGGGCTGAGGTGGTGGCCATCGACAGCACTGGCCTCGTGGGCCGGGGTGTCGTCGTGCTTGACGTGCTCGACACCAATGACGACCCTGCCATTGTGGCGAGCTCACTGCAGCTCAGCGTCGCCGAAGATGCTGCAGCCAACACCGTGGTTGGCACTTTGGTTGCCAATGATCCAGACGGCGACGCCCTCACCTGGTCTGTGGTCAACGTGTCCGCGCCTTCCCTGGTCTTTGGGTTTCAGGGGCGTGCGCTCGTTTTTCTTGGCGGCACGCTGGACTTTGAGACGGCCCCGGAGATTGCTGTGGGTGTGCAGGTGGCCGATGGTAATGGTGGTCTGGCCACAGCGATTGCCACAATTGCCATCTTAGATGCCCCTGACGCTCCCGTGATTATTGGCCTGATGCCCTCTCGCATCTCGGAGGCAGCTGTTGTGGGTACCACAGTAACCTGGCTGTCGGCTCGTGATGAGGACGCCGGCGATGATATCGCCTTCAGTCTAGGTGGTGTTGATGCCGTATCCTTTGCTCTGAATGCGTCTTCGCGGCGCTGCGATTCTGTGGATGGTGTTGCTGAGGACGACGATGAGGCAACCACGGGTTCGATTGGGGGAGTTGTCTGCAGCATCGGACTCGTGCTGGTCCAACCGCTGGATTTTGAGACGCAGACGTTTTACACCATTTCTGTGCGCGTCTCGGATGCACGAGGTGCGAGCGTGACTGAACTGCTGCTGTTGCGCATCAACGATGCTAACGATGCGCCCGTGAGCATCAGCCTGAGCAGCACAACAGTGCCCGAGAATAGCCCACCAGGGACCTTTATCGGGCTTGTCAATGTGCAGGACCCGGATCAGGGCCAAACACACACCTGCCAGGTCACGTCGAGCCTGCCTGCGGGCCTCATTATGCAGGCCAATAGCGTGTTGGCCGTTGCCACCACAGTGCCCAGCTTCGAGTTGGGTACCGTGTACAGCGTTGAGATCACCTGCACGGACAGCGGCTTGCCACCGCAAAGCCTGACCGAGACACTCACTGTGACCGTTACAGATGTAGCCGAGCCACCCACGGGCATTACCATCTCCCACAACTCGGTGCTCGAGAATGCAACGCAGGGCTTTCTGATTGGGCAGCTGGACATCATTGACGAGGACATGGTCGACTTCCCCATCTTCCAGCTCTCGGATGGTGCCGATGCACGCTTTGCAGTACGCGGTCGCAGCCTCGTCCGTGGGACAACGGCCCTCGACTACGAGGCGTCGACCTCGCACACGGTTGAGTTGCGCGTTGTCGAGAACTCACTTACAGCCTCATTTTTCAACCTCTCCATCAACGTCGTGAATGTGAACGAACCCCCGTCGTCCATCCAGCTCAGTGAGGCTGCGCTTCGGGAGGATAGCCAAGCCGGCACCGTGGTAGGGCGACTGACGGCCACAGATCCCGATGCGAACCAAACCCATGTTTTTTCCCTGGACTCGACTGCTGGCACTGACCCGGAGGTCACCAGCATGTTCGTCATTCTGGGCGCCGAGTTGATCTACATTGGCAATGACACTGCCTTGATCAATTTTGAAGAGCGCACCTCGCTTACCATTGCCGTGCGCGCTCTTGATGATGCGGCCTACAGCGTCGGTGCGCCCTTGGCCCTGACACGGCTTTTTGAGATTTCCATTACTGACGTAAACGAGCCGTTCAGCAATCCACGCTTCTCCAACACACTCGTACCAGAGGACATCAGGCCCGGCCAGCTCATCGCTAATTTGTTGGTCGTGGATCCGGATCAAGGGCAAAGCGTGACCTGCACACTTATTGACTCGGCCGGGGGCCGCCTTGTGCTTGAGGGTGATGCGCTGTTGGCTGGTCCCACATCCTTCGACCATGAGACGAGCTCGACGGTTTCTATCAGCCTGACCTGTCGCGACGACGGGCAGCCTCCTTTCACCAGCACCAGCAACATGACTTTCACCGTGCTGGACGTGCCCGAAGCCCCTCGACGCGTTGTCCTTTTGGGCGGCAGTGTCTCCGAGGCGGCAGCACCGGGCACGGTGGTTGGTGTTTTGGTTGCACAAGACGATGAGGGCAATGCCGTAAGCTTTGCACTTGGTGCTTCCAACGAGGCTGGACCCTTTGTCGTTCAAGATGTGTCTCTTGTTCTCAACGGCACACTGGACTATGAGGCACGACAGCACTACAACCTGTCCATTGTTGCGACCGACAGCACCGGGCTCTCCACAGAAGCTTCAGTTTGGGTCAGTGTGACCAACGAACCCGACTGCGAGGCTGGTAGCTGCCTCAACGGAGCCACCTGCTTGGATGTGGGCGCTAATTTTACATGCATATGCGCGCCCGGCTTTCGTGGGCGCCGTTGCGAGCTCAACATTGATGATTGTTCGGGTGGACCCTGTGCCAATGGTGGTCTATGCATCGACGGCGTTGACAATTTTACGTGTGATTGCACAAACACCGGCTTTGAGGGCGCATTTTGCGTCGAGCCACAAGCCTGCGCCCCGCCACCCGCGAAGCCACACGCTAGCTTGCTGACTGGTGACACACCGCGCTTTGGTGATGACATCGCGTATTCTTGCACCCCTGGCTTTAGCGCGGATGGCACCCCTTCTGGTGCCAACATCGTGCATGAGCGTTGCACGGCGCAAGGCACAGTCTCCAACACCAGTACGTGCCTTCAAATCGACTACTGCGTTGGTGAACCATGTGCCAACAATGCGTCTTGCACCAGCGAGGATTTGCGGTACCTTTGTGCCTGTCCGTCAGGGTTTACTGGCACCAACTGTGAGCTGCCTTTGCGCTGTGCACGGGAGAGCCCCGTCATCATCACAGCCAGCGATCAGCTGGCGGCCTTGTCAGCGTGCCTGACCTTTGACAACGAATTGATTATCGCCAACATGACGACCAATTTTGATCCCGCCTTCTTAACACCTGTGCGTGCCTTTCGCGGAGGCCTGCAGCTCGTGAACTTGCGTTTAGCATCTTCTGCTTCTGCTGCTGCATCTGGCGAAGGCCCCCAACAGGTCGAATGGTCGGCTAGCGAAATGAAGGGCTTGCAGCTCTCAGGCATTTCGGCAGCACACAATGTGGAGCTCGTCTTACCCAACATCACGGTGCTTGATGGCTCGCTGACGCTGCTGCAGGTGGCACGCAACGTTCAACTGGCTGCTCCTCAACTCAATCGCGTCGAGGGGGATGTGGAGGTCCGCGCCACCAATTGGACGCAGCTGACGGGTCTTGATGCTTTGGTTGAAGTGTATGGGTCGGTTGTGCTTGCGGAGAACTTGGTCTTGCGAGGTGTGGGCACTTTGGATGCGCTGCTTGTTGTTCGTGGAAGCTTGGAGGTGCATAACAATGCAGCATTGGCAACGCTAATGCAACCAGCCAACTTGGTGTCGGTGGGCGAGGACGTTCTTGTGACGGGCAACAACGTGTTGCGCGACGTCAACGCGCTGGCCGCACTGCAGTTTTATGGACGGTTTCTCATCATCCGGAACAATCCGCTGCTCTGTTTCATTGGTGAACATCCCTTGAGCAGTATCCGTGCGCTGGAATCGGGGACCGATGCCCCCTCACTCCTAAATAATGGACAAGACTGCGCAAGCAATCGCACGGACGCGGACAATGACGGCGTATTTGATGACGTGGACAACTGCGTCACCATCGCCAACCCAAGTCAAGCGGATGCCAACGCAAATGGTTTGGGTGATGCGTGCGACTGTTTTCCGCTCGATCCTTGCCTCAATGGCGCCACTTGCAGCGTCGATTCTACGCAATTTGCGTGTGCGTGCGCTCCGACCTTTACTGGTCGCACGTGTGCCATTTCGACATTGGTGCCCACCCCACGCTTTGGTGCCTCTGCTTCGGCACTTCTCAGCGCTGCAGTGACCCGCCAGGCTGACGACACTTTTGCAGTCGCTGCCCCCGCGTTGGTGGGCGCTGACTTGGGCGGCCAAGTGCTAGCATCCGCGTACTTGGCTGGCCGTGCTGGCCACTCCACTGTCTCGGTCAACTCCCTCGAGGCCACAATTCTCCACTTGATTCTGTTTGACGCTGACGATGCAAGTGCTGGCAATGCACCGTATCTCTCCTTCAACCAGCGCACACTGCGGGCATTGGTGACGGTACAGGACGGCTTGGGCAACGCCAATGTTTCGTCTGCGACGATTGTCGTCCAGATGGACAATGGTGTTACCACCCACCGAGACACTTGCACGACGTCGCAGCCCAGTGGGCACTGCCTCGTGACAACCTCGGTCCCCGAGGCATTCTTTGCCATCAACGCACCGACCAGTGTGCAGATCACAGCGTACTTGCTTGATCAACCTCAGGTTGCGACCGCGAGTCAGATGTTTACGGTGGAGCCATACCCTGTGGTGGGAAGCACCGATGCGGTGGCTCTATACGTGCCGGTGACGAGCTGTGCTCCGAACCAAACATTCACAGCCGCGGTACTTGTCCGGACTTCGCAATCGTTGGGTGCGTTTGGGCTGGTCCTCACTTTAGACAGCGCCTTGAGCGTTGAACGTGCCGACTTTGACGTGGCCAATTGGCAAGTGACGACCCGCGCCGTGACTGCCTCGGGTCGGTACGTAGCGGTGGGTCGCCGAATGCCCAGATCTGGTGCGGCCGTCTCTGCAGCTGGCGAGACTGTGCGTCTGCTTTTGCTGACCATGCGAGTATCCAGCGAGGCTGCAACACCAACCACACCCACCATGTCCCTGAACGTCACCCAGCTATTGGATACCAGTGGCCGCTCCTTGCTGTCAGCCTCTGACCTTCCACGCCGAGCCGATCATTTTGATTTTGAAGGCAGCAACCACGTCGGTGCCCGCGTTTTGGTTGAGGAACCTGTGGTGCTGCGCTTGCAGGCACGTTTGCCTCGAGCTCAACTCATCAATACCGCGCGCCTCACGGGGATTACACGACGCGTGCCGCTTGTGGTTCTCGCGCTACGATCAGATGGCCTTGTTGTCGAGTTGCAGTCAGGCCTCGCCTGCGCCACTGCTCGCATGGCTGTCGCGCGTACAAATGCAGGCTGCACCGCCCTCGAGGTCGTGGGCTCTGAGACGGCCGGTGAGGCCGAACTGGCAGTATCAGTGGCTCTGGGGAGCCTGCGCACCACCGTGATGGCTCGCGTTTGGTTTCCCGTGTCTACTCAACTCGTGACCAGCACCCGTGATCTGCATCCAATCCGTAACCTGCTCGATCTCAATTGCAATCAAGTATATCAGCGGGCTCGCGTGGTCGTCGAAAGTACTTTTCAGGCCGGTACCAGCTCTTTCTCGGTTGATGTCACCTCCCTGGCCGCAGCTCGTCTACGCTCCAGTTCCCCGGCTGTTGTGGCCATAGAGGCAAACGACTCGCCTCTGGTGGCGCCTCGAGTTGATGCTGTGGGTCAAAGCCCAGGCTTTGCTCTCGTTTCCTGGAACAATGCAGCTGGCATTGTGCTGGCAAGCGAATTCTTCTTTGTGTCGGAGAGTCTGGCCACGGTGCAAAGCATATTTCCGGCCGTTGTAACGGCTGTTGAAGTAGAGGCCAGTCCGGCGGAGGCCGGTCCTGATCAATCGGTCTTGATTAGGGCAGTCATCCGCGATGAGCTGTTGTCCCTCGGCGAATCGGCCAACATTGCTGTGAGCGGGGTCTTTGCTGATGGCGCTCGTGACTTGTCGTTTTGGTCCAACATCTCGCTGAGCAGCTTGAGCCCCTCTGTGGCATGGATTGATGGTAGCAACCAGATCAACCCCTTGGCTTCAGGTGTCGGTGACTTGCGAGCTGAGCTGCGATCCGCATGCCCGGCAAACCCTCAAATCGTTGCCACAGGTACTGGCCCCATTCGTGTCATGTTACCCACCGTCGTCGGCCTTCAGGCGTCATTGGCAGAACCGATAATCTACACAACCTCCACTGTCTCGACCGACGTCGTGCCTACAACCACCCAGCTGCTGATCTCGTTGACGTTGAGCAACGGTCAGATGCGTGATGCGTCGCGAAATCCAGCTGTTAACGCACGCATTGTCGACGTCACACCCTTGACCAGTGAGAACGAGCCATTTGACGACGCTGCGCTGCGGGCTGGCGTACAGCTGGCTCGTGCCAGCCCCGTAGAGCCGTTCTTCCTCTCGACCACGAGTCAAGCCGTCGTGCCAACCCGTGTTGTACTCGAGGTTGGCCTGGCAAGCAGTCCAGAGCTCGTGCAAAACGTTTCAGTGATCGTGGATGTGCTTTCTGGTTTGCTCCTCACCGTCCGCCCCCTTGTCTCGGTCAGGGCAGATGAACCGACCGAAGGGTTCCATCGCATGCCGTTGACGGGTCACTTCTCCGCTTTACAGGTCCACACTTTTTTGGAAGCAACCGCTGGCACTCGAGTCAACATTACGAGCGCTGAAGGCCTCTCCTTGACCAGCACTGACAATGCTGTGACGCTGGATGGCAATCGGGTCGAGTTGGATTCGGCATTTTCTGGTCAAAGCGTCGGGTTGACCGCTAACTTTAGTGGCTTTGCGGAGACGTTGGAGCTTAGCGTTGAGCAGGATCCTGTGTCAGTCAGAGTGGTTTATCTGTCCATGGACTCAGATGCCCTGGTTGACTCGGCTCCGCGCGACACGGCAACCACCCTTTCAGTAGATGTGGAACTGGCTGATGGTGCTCTTCAGAACAACGTTGTGAGTCAGGGTGAGGTACTCATCCCCGATTACGTGACCTTCACCTCCTCGAACCCGCAAGTGCTTCGCGTGAATGCCACGACGGGCACTCTCGCTCTTCTTGGAACGGCAGCCTTTCCCGTCACAATCACTGCAGCCGTGGGGCAAGCAACTGCGGAGCTGGAACTGAATGCCAATCTGTCGCCCTTGGTGGGTGACATTGATCTTGGAAATTCTGCAACACCGGCCATATCCATCCTGGGGCCCGGAGAGGTCGCTTGGATCTCCGTTTTTGCCAATGTGTCAGGGGTGATGATGCGTGGTTTTGATTTGACCGTCACCTCGGCCTCCAGTAGCACCGTCTCCCTTGAGGGAGCAGTTTTGGGCCGTGATGTCACGGGGCAATTTATGACGGCACAACAGACAGCAAGTAGAGTTCGTTTTGGTGCCGTGGTAGCAGCGGTGACGGGTGGTCGTCTCGAGATAGCACGTGTGCAATTGCGGGCAGGTTCTTCCGCCAGTGCTGCGGCCACGACAATCAGTGTCACTGTCAACGACCTCTTTGACCAGGACTTGGCGATCATAGGTGCGCCCACTCCGCGCCTCGCCATAGCTGGAAGCAACGTACCCGTAGTGGTGCGGAGTGCCGGCAGTGCAGCGGCAGGCCTTGTGGCCTTTTTGCCGAGCACCATTGAAGAAGCCAAACAACGCGCTCGTCGTGCGCACACGTGTGATGAATCTCCGCCAGGCGATGTCAATGGTGATTGTGTATTTACACTGCGAGATGTGGCTTTTGTGAATGACTACGCAGCAGATGTACTCGCGGGTATCCCCCCGCCCAACGTGACAGCAGAAGTGTATGCCGAGATGGATGTCGACCGGGACAACACCATCACGGTGGGCGACAGCGCTCTCTTGGCAGATATTCTCTATGGTGTGGTTGACTTTGTCCGAGTATCAACCGCCACGCCCAATGAGACGTTACAAACATGCGCCACTGCCATCACAGCCCAGGTTCTCACCTATGATAACATGCCTTCAGAGAGACCTGTGCGCCTTTTTGCTGTGATGCGGGGCACGGCTGATCTTAGCCTGGAATGGGGTCGCCGCGATGGCGGCTGCGGCACCAACTGCGTTGTGTACGAATTTGCCAATAGCAGCATGCCTGGTGAGTATGTGCTGGAATTCGATGGCTCAACGACGACTGACGTTTCGTTCTATTACCTTCAAATTCATCTCAACGATACAAACACCAGCTATGCAGAGCAGTTTCGCATCTACGCTCCAGCAGTTGCGAGCGGAGGCTCAACAGCTGCTTATCAGCTGCCTGTAGTTGATAGCGAAGGTGTGCCCTTGCAGTTTCCGGCAGGATCTTATGGATCGGTCGAGCGGCTGGGTTCCATCACCGAGCCAGTGTTTTGCTCTGCGTCCAGCTCAACCTCGACATCTTCAACCACAAGCTCGTCCACCTCTACCTCTACCTCTACCTCTACCAGCTCCAGCACAAGCTCTAGTTCCACAACCTCTTCTTCAACAAGCTCTAGCCCTAGCTCCAGCTCTAGCTCTAGCTCTAGCTCTAGCTCTAGCTCCTCTACCTCTACCTCTACTTCAACTTCCAGTTCCACCTCTTCTTCTACCAGCTCCAGCACATCTACTTCCACTTCCACCTCTACTTCCACTTCCACCTCTACTTCCACTTCCACCTCTACCTCCACTACCACTTCTACTTCCACTTCCACTTCCACGTCTTCTTCAACAAGCTCAAGCTCCTCTACCTCTACCTCTACTTCCACCTCTACCTCCACTTCTACCTCCACTTCCACTTCCACTTCCACATCTTCTTCAACAAGCTCAAGCTCCTCTGCCTCTACCTCTACCTCCACTTCCACCTCTACCTCCACTACCACTTCTACTACTAGCTCCACTACCACTTCTACCTCCACTTCCACTTCCACTTCCACATCTTCTTCAACAAGCTCAAGCTCCTCTACCTCTACCTCTTCCTCCACCTCTACCTCAACTTCTACTTCTACTTCTACGTCTTCATCCACCACAACATCATCCACCTCATCATCCTCAACAAGCTCAAGCTCTTCAACCTCCACCTCCACTTCCACTTTTACTTCTACCTCGATAAGCTCAAGTACCAGCACGTCAACAATTTCATTTGCAGACTTTCCCGATATTGCAGGCTATGGTGTCCAATTTATCGGTCGTGTGCTCGGAGAACCCATGCCTCGTCGCTTCTCAACGGCAAACGTCACTGCAGCCATCTTGGCCAACTTTGAGTCAACGGGGAACGTTACATCGTGCTCCAGTGTTTGTGATCTCATTGCAGTTTGTCAAGGCGTATACTTTTATCAAGAATCTGGAAATCCCTTCTGTCGTTTACTGCGTGCGCTTGGAGCTCCATCTGGCACGATTGAGTCTGAGCCCTCTTACAGTTTGCGCAAGCTTGTTGATCCGACCTCAACGTCACCGACCATCACCTCGATGCCAACGACCGGGACGTTACGTGCCACCTCTTCCTCGTCTTCATCCTCATCCTCATCCTCGACCTCGACCTCGACCTCTATTTCCACTTCCACCTCCACTTCCACCTCCACTTCTACCTCTACCTCTACTTCTACCTCTACTTCTACTTCTACTTCTACCTCTACCTCTACTTCTACTTATACCTCTACTTCTACCTCTACTTCGACCTTTACTTCCTCTTCCACTTCTTCTTCCACTTCTTCTTCCACTTCTTCTTCCACTTCTTCTTCCACTTCTTCTTCCACTTCTTCTTCAACGAGCTCAAGCTCGAGTTCCTCCACTTCCACTTCAACCTCATCCTCATCCTCCACCTCTACTACCACCTCCACCTCCACTTCCACTTCCACTTCCACTTCCACTTCCACTTCCTCCTCCACTTACACTTCCTCCTCTTCTTCAGCTTCAACTTCCACCTCCACCTCCACCTCCACCTCTTCCTCGACCGAAACTGTCCCCCCTTTTGTTGTGGAGGAGATGGTGGGCAATTTCCAACTTCGATTCGTAGGAAAGCTGAACAACAACCGCAGGCCGCTTATGTTTGGAACCTCGTTCAACAATAGCGTGCGAGTCGGCCGCTTCTTGGGGCGAGACAAGGATTTTTGCGCTGGCGTTTGTGAAGGCTTAACTGCCTGCGTTGCTTTTGTAATGTATCTTGAGAATGATCGTCAGGCGTGCAACTTACTAGCAGATGTTGGTGATGGCCCCATAACAACGACTGAACCATCTCTCTCCTACAGCTGGGTCTCGACGTCTACCAGCACCTCGACGTCTACCAGTACATCGACTTCCACCAGCACCTCGACCTCAACCAGCACATCGACTTCTACCAGCACCTCGACTTCCACCAGCACCTCGACTTCCACCAGCACCTCGACCTCAACCAGTAGTTCGACAACCACAACTCCGTTTGTCGCAGAAACGGTCGTGTCGGGGTTTGACATTGTCTTCAAAGGGCGGCTTGAAGAAAATCCAAACCCACGCGTCTTCTCGACGTTTATGGATGACGACAGCTTAATTGGAGAACTGAATGGCTCTCCAGCTTTTTGCGCCTCGCTCTGCACTCGTGATATTGGCTGTGCCGGTTTTGTGCTTTACAATCAGTTCGAACAAACTATGTGTCGGCTATTGTCAACCATTGGCAATGAAAGCGGTGCCATGACTACGATGCAGAGCTACAGTTACGCTCGCCTCCTGCAACCAGGTACGACGAGCTCCACCAGCACATCAACAAGCTCGTCAACTTCCACAAGCACATCCACCTCAACCAGCACGAATACAATCACGGTGCCCTTTGTGGAGCCTACACCTCCTGAGCGTTTTGAACTGGTTTTACAGGGTGTTGTCAATGGCAACCCTGTTCCAGAGGTCTTCAATACGACAGGTGCTCTCTTGGGCTTCTTAACTGCCGCGAGCCTGAAGCAGTGTGCATCCATATGCCTCACTCTCAACGAATGTTATGGCTTTGTTGTGCGCCCCACTTTGACCTCTAACATTCAATGTCTCCTGGTGACTCGAGCCGCGGTACTTTCTGCTGTGCCTGACGAAGCGCCCTCGTACTCTTTTGGTCGAATTCTGCTACCGGGCACCACTTCCTCCACCTCCACCTCCTCCTCCACCTCATCGTCCTCATCATCTTTCACTTCGACGTCGACCTCCACCTCCACTTCCACCTCCACCTCGACCAGCACAGAACAAGTCGTGGTGCGAGAGGAAGTTGATGGCTATGAGATCGTTTTCGTGGGGCGCCTTTCGGGCAACCCCATGCCAGAGCGCCCCGTGCAAGTCATGTCCGTTAGTACATGGCTCGCCAATTACCCCGCGCCAAGTGCTAGCGGCTGTGCTGAGGTTTGCGATTTGCTCGCAGACTGTGCCGGCTTTTATTTTGCATATGAGTTCTCGACGGACCAGTCACGTTGTCGTCTACTATCCGTGTTGGACCCCAATCAGAGCGAGTATGAGCCTCTGCAATCTTTCACCTATCAAAAAGTAGAAACATCGACGACGTCCATGGCAACCACGTCCATGGATGGCAGTGGCGATGACGAACTCACTACAACTGCTGCCACCACCCTTATGAGCACCTCGTCAACCAGCACCTTCACCACTACCACTACCTCATCAATCACGTCCACCACCACCACCTCATCAACTACCTCCACCACCACTACCTCATCAACTACCTCCACCACCACTACCTCATCAACTACCTCCACCACCTCATCAACTACCTCCACCACCACCACCTCATCAACTACCTCCACCACCACTACCTCATCAACTACCTCCACCACCACTACCTCATCAACTACCTCCACCACCACTACCTCGTCAACTACCTCTACCTCTACCTCGTCAACTACGAGGACTTGGTTGGCTTATGACGCCCCCATGATACCTTTGTTCGAAACCAAGGTGTCGCGATGCCACAGGTGCCGAGTGTTTTCAATCAAGCGGACCGTATAGTTGCTCAGCTTCGGTCATCATCGCCCCTTCAGTGCGCAGTGCTCTGTAACACCATCGACTGTGGTGCTTTTACCTTCTCTCCAGTCGAGAACCGCTGCTTATTCGTATCTAGCGATGCTGATCTATTGACCCTAGTCTCCACCGATGAGGCTATAGTTACTTATCAGCGTGCTTTCCTTCCTCGAACCACTTCAAGCACTTCCTCTTCTACTTCAACATCCGCTAGCTCCTCATCCACCTCCACCTCCACCTCCACTTCTACCTCCACCTCCACTTCCACCTCCACCTCCACTTCCACCAGCACACCGGCCTTTTTGGACCTTGTAATTCCTCCAGAACTAACGGAGAGGTTCACCATTCAATTTGAGGGCCGCGTCAATGGAGAACCCAACCCACGTCTGTTCACCACGGTGTTCGACGAGGCCAGCCTGGTGGGCTTAGTGCGGCGCTCGTCAGTCGGGACGTGCTTCCGGGTCTGCGATGATGTATATGCGTGCGATGGCTTTGCAATTCTTGAAAGCAATGGAGGTTTTGAATGTCGTTTGCTCTCTGACCTGGGTGCTCCCGAGGGTGTACCCACCACGATTCCCTCATATAGTATCGCAAAGGTGCGCCTGCCAGCGACAACTTCGAGTACCTCGTCCAGCACCTCGTCCAGTACCTCTACCAGCACTTCTACCAGCACCAGCACTTCTACCAGCACCAGTACATCAAGCATGACCTCGTCCAGCTCTTCCACTTCCACCTCTACCAGCACGTCAACCACCACTTTTCTACCCACGATGGACCTGGCGCGATTCGAGCTCGTCGCGCGAGGTCAGGTAGAGGGCGAGACGATGGCTCAACGCGCCATTGTGACGGAAGAGAATCAACTTGGTGCTTTCATGGGTGTATCAGTTGCACAGTGTCGTTCATTCTGCTTGAGCATACTTGAATGCAGTATTTTGCAGTTGGAAGCAATTGGCGACGGTATGTTCCGTTGTGTCTTCTTGTCGGGGGAGGCTGACTTGGAGCCCACTATGGAGCAATCCTATACCTATGCCCGCATATTTTTGCCCGGTACGACCACCAGCACTTCCACGTCAACAAGCTCGTCGACGAGCTCCAGTAGCTCCACGAGTACCTCGACCAGCTCTTCCACAAGCACATCGACGAGTACTTCGACTATGCCTTTTGCTCCGCGCCCGCAGATTCGTGGCTATGGCTTACGCTTTGTAGGCCGCATCCTAAATGAAATGTCACCCCGCCGATTTTCAACTTCCAACGATGCTGCGGCCGTTTTGGCTGATTTTGAGGCCACCAACAATGAAGTGTCAGAGTGCACAGATGTGTGTGACCTGATTGAAGCCTGCATGGGGGTGTATTATTTTGAGGGGACTGAGCACAGCCAATGTCGCCTGCTGCGATTTTTGGGTGAAGACGATGGTGCACCTGAAGTTGACCCATCCTACAGTTTGCGAAAGCTGCCATACCCTGCGTCGACCAGCTCAACCTCGAGCTCTTCATCATCTTCAACATCTTCTTCTTCCTTTACGAGCTCAAGCTCAAGTTCTTCGACCTCTTCCTCCTCCTCGATCTCCACTTCCACTTCCTCCTCGACCAGCTCAAGCACGAGCTCATCCACTTCTACTTCCACGTCTGGTTCTACCTCTACCTCGACCTCGACCTCGACCTCGACCTCGACCTTCACTTCCTCCTCTGCCTCAACCTCTTCCTCTACCTCTACCTCAACTTCTACTTCTACGTCTTCATCCACCACAACGTCATCCACCTCATCATCTTCAACAAGCTCAAGCTCTTCAACCTCCACCTCCACTTCCACTTCGTCTTCTTCCTCTTCCTCTTCTTCCACCAGCTCCAGCTCCAGCCCAAGTTCATCCACTTCCACTTCCACTTCCACTTCCACTTCCACTTCCACTTCCACTTCCACTTCCACTTCCACTTCCACCTCCTCCAGCTCCAGCTCCAGCTCATCAACTTCCACTTCCACTTCCACCTCGTCCAGCTCCAGCTCTTCCACTTCTACTTACACTTCAACCTCTACCTCTACCTCTACCTCTACCTCTACCTCTACCTCTACCTCTACCTCTACCTCCTCCTCTTCCTCTTCTTCCACCAGCTCCAGCTCCAGCTCCAGCTCTAGCTCCTCCACTTCCACTTCCACCTCCACTTCTTCCAGCTCCAGTTCCTCCACTTCCACTTCCACCTCCACCTCTTCTTCTTCCTCTTCTTCAACCAGCTCAAGCTCAAGCTCAAGCTCTTCTTATTCTACTTCTACCTCTTCTTCCACCAGCTCAAGCTCCAGCTCTTCCAGTTCCACCTCTTCTTCTTCCTCTTCCTCTACAAGCTCTTCTACTTCAACCTCTACCTCTACCTCTACTTTTACCTCTACCTCGAGCTCCACAACCACGACCACGACGACACTGCCAGGAAATGTTTGTCGCTCTGGGACTCTGCCATGCGGCACGCCCTGCAGTTGCAGCTTGCTAACAAACTGTTACGAATGCAACACGGAAACGGAAGGCACCATCGTGTATCCAACGACCTGTCGTGTGTGCAAAAATTCTGCCTATCTGCTGGACACTTCCTGCGTGCAATCGTGTCCAACCGATTACGTGGGCTATGGGGCTGGCAATTTTGGGCGCACCTGCTATCGTATCGCCAACCCGCCCCCCGTCGATGTAAATCTACAGTGCGCCAACAAGCAGCTCAGCAATGGCGCAGGGTCTTGCACTTGTGATCCTTTGGTTAACGGCTGTGCCACCTGCACCCTGGGGCTGCAAGATGACAGATTATTAGGCACCTCCTGCTTGACATGCAAGAATGGCTTGTACCTTCTGGAGGGTGAGTGCTTGACCGAATGCCCCAGCGGCTTTCTGCCTAGGGGCACGGGCACTTTTGGACGAACCTGCATTCCGGCTAGTGACGCCGCGAACGCCACTTTTGTTTGTTCGAGCAAGGTGATTGTCAATACCAGCGAGACTTGTAGCTGCAACCCACTCTTGAACTGTGCTGAATGCACTGCCAAACAAGGGGTAGCTGGCGTATACACCGGGGATCAGTGCCGCTTGTGTAAGAATGGCGCAGCTCTATTTGAGGGGGCTTGCGTGACCACGTGTCCGGAAGGCTATACGATGGAAGGCGCAGGTCTTTTCGGCCGGCGATGTGTGGATCTGCGCACTTGTACTGGGCGCGTTTTTGAAGGCACTGACGATCCTTGCAGTTGCTTGCCACTCGGTGACTGCCACACATGTGCCGTCGCTGATGGACAAGTCCGCAGCTGTAGCGTTTGCAAGAACTCGGCTTATCTGGATCCGACCACACGAACGTGTGTGGATACATGCCCTAGCGGATATGTGCCCGCTGGTCAGGGTTCCTTTAACCGCCGCTGCGAACTGGCTCCCGCCTGATCTTGCTTTCGCATCCTCCATTTCTCTGTTCTCTGAAGGAGTAGCAACCTAAGTTTTTTTTCTGTTTCTTGTGTGGCATTTATGTTGTCTGTTGGAGCTCTCCCGCTCCTGAGTTTTTGTTTCTTTCTTCTTCAGCTCCCTGCTCTCCCCCTCCTCTCTCTCTCTCTCTCTCTCTCTCTCTCTCTCTCTCTCTCTCTCTCTCTCTCTCTCTCTCTCTCTCTATTGAGTTTTAATTGACACATGGTGAAAGCTACTCAAGACGAATAAGATGGTTGAACTTTTCATTTCATTGGGTTGTGCGGCCCACTTCGATGCGTGTTGAGGGAGACCGAGGACTGGCGCCGCTCAAGATTTCCAAAAGCAGACCACACTTGTGACGTTCCGTTCGCAGATTGGTTCAGTGGTGTCGAGACAGTGAGGCATGTTGAAGACGTGGCCTTGGTAAACGGCCGTTGATGACCCACCCCCATCAAGATTGATCGCCTAGCCAGCCGCACGACACGACAGTGGCAAAGGACCAGATGCACTATGAAAAGCGAGGCTCTGCGAGAAACACACGGAAAAGAACAAGAAAGAAGCAAAAGCCTAGTGCTTGACGCCGAGGCTGACCTGAACGACGTCGAGCTCCAACAGGAGAGATGCCATTTCGTGCAAATCAGGGCCTACGAGTTCCTCCTCAATGCCTACGCATAATCAGACACGCAGACCATGCCATATGTACCGGAAGAAGTTGTATGTAAACAAGCACTGCGCAGAAAAGAGAGCAGGGCGCAGAGGAGGGCGGGGTAGACATCGGATCGGGAAGCCTACCATCGACTACCAGGCTGAGTATAGCGCCGTCTTTGGTCAAGCCAAGCGCTGTTCGAGGAGCCTTTTCGGACACAAAGCTGTCAGTTGGTGTAAACTCGCGACTCTGGTTGGTGTACGCTTGACCGTGTCGAATCAGCCTAACAAGGAAGATTGAACAATTGAAAACAATGCGTGTCTTGTGGCCGGCAAGCAGGCGCAGTCTCAAGCCGTGCCAAAGATGAAACAGCTGCAAAGTGAGCGCGCAATTTACCAGCCTCGACCTGTGATCAACTCGGTCAGATCGGCGATATCTGCTTCTTGCATGTAGCCAATTACGATGCGATCTCCCTGCGTTGAGTCGGGGCATGTCATTCCTAGCTGCAAAGCACGGCGTGTTGGCAGGCAGGCAAGTGTGCTCACAACTACAGCCTCACCTTGCGGCCAAAGTTGACTTGATTAGGACAAGGGTGCTGAATGGACACGCCATCGGTGATAAGATTTCCTTCGCAGGCGGGAGGTGTAAAATCAAAAAAGCCGGCATTGGTTGCATATTCGCACGTCAGAAGCTTGGCTTGCTCTAGGCAGGTGGGTGGAGAGGGATGGCGTGGAAAGGGGTGTGGATCAGGGTCGACGTGCAACAAGCGGGGAGGGACAGGCTAGGGACGTAGACGTCGCAAAGACGCAGGGCAGGTTGAGGGACCTGAGACAGTGCGGTGGTGCTCGCAACCATTGGGCCCGATGCCAATGTGAAAGAGGTGGGCCGGCGCCACGGCAATGGAGGCATTGTAAGATCGCCCGGTGTTGGCAAACACACCGTGCCGATGATGGACGGTCAGGCCAAAGCTACTATCCTTGAGATCATGATCATCGCCGAGATGCGCCAGATGAGGAGACAGGAACGCGCGCGTATGCGAGCGCTCGCCATGGCTTGTGAGATCAGCCTGACCAATGGCACACTCGGCGGGCTCGACCTACGTTGTGGACGTTGATCACATCAAAATCGGAGGTGAAACCGTCCTGCACCAGAATATCACCTGCCGTCACGGCCTTGATCAGGCAGATCCCAAGGATGGCCGCCAGCAGCGCCGCCTGGCGACGGGGGAGGAGGCGCCCAAGCAGCATCTTTGAGCTCGATCGCACAGCGCGACAATAAACTGCAGTCTCACCAGCACTTACTTCCATTAGACACATTAACACATCCGCAATAACCTGCCCTAGCTGCTACAGTAACCCGAATTACCCTTGTCAGCATTGGCCAAAAGTCTTACATTTTCTTGTTTTGTCAGACAATCTTTCGTGTT